CCATCTCCCCGGCCCCTAGTGCTGTTGTTTTTAGCAGTTTAATCACTGCCTCGGGGTTTGGGTATCAGCAATATGAGGATTGAGGGTTGGACTCACCAATTCTGAGATTACCATTAACACAGGTGGGAAGTGCTAAAATCTGTCCTTAACAGAACTAAAGTGCCTGAGAACACTCTTGCTATTCATGAATAAAATATGGAGTAGAAACCAGAAGTGCAATTTAAGTCTCACCTTAACTGCACTACATTTTCAAACTTTGTACAATGTAGTAAAACTTAGAAGGCATTTGGTTTAAAAATAAGACCAGAGGTTTCTTTATAAGTCTTAGAAATGGAGGGAAATGAAAAATCGTATGATCAACCCTCAGACATTCTTTTGCACAGCGCAGGACAAGCTGCCTTGGTGATGCTAGCTGTTCTCGCATCTGTTTCCAAGATCCCCACCTACCAACCAGGATGTATTTATGAACCTCCTGGGAAAAGTTCCAAGTCTCCGCTAAGAACATGCACTAAACCAAACCTGCGGGCTGGGGAGATGGCTCAGTAGAATAAGCGCTTGCCTGGCAAGCACAATGGACCTGAGTTCAATCCCCAGTTCCGCCAAAATAAATAAATAAACCATACCTGCTTAGAAAAGGAAAAGGGAGAAATGTTCAATAGAGAAATGTTATGCTCATGGTTCAGAGTATACTATACCATCCTTTTTCTGAATAAAAGTCTTTTTTGTTCACATTCCAGTTCCTAAGTTTGAGAGAAGGTAAATGTAAATTTTACTGAAAATAAAACAGGGTTATAATGCAACATGTCAAGCAGCCGTCTGAAAGACACTGGAAGGAAAGTCAGAATTCCCAGCCTCTCCTCTCCCAATCCCAACTCCCTCTATCAGCTGTGTAAGGGACGATCCCTGCTGGAACCTCTGAGGAGCCTATCTCCTACTGCACAAAGCAAGCGTTCTCAGGGATTCTGCATCAAGCTCTGACTCTCTACATCAAAGCCAGGGAAACCTGGAAAGAGGAGCGGCCCAAAGATACTAGAGGAAATCTTAAAAGCAGTCCACCTAACCATCACTGGCTTAGCTGGAGAGAGGGTAAGCTTCAGTAATGTTTCCCAGGGCAAATATTAATGTGTTGCTCCTCTCACTACATAAATATACTCAATCCTTTTATAGCAAGATTCCAGGCTGAGCTGGAGAACTCACGTGGGAGGACTTTATTACTGAAGTCATCAAAACATGAGTTACAGGCAGGTCTGCCTTTAGGTTAGCAGCAGAGGGGAGCCTCCAAGTCGGAGCTCTGGGGAAGCCTTTGTTCAGGGAATCCTACCCTTCAGACAGGGCTGGAATTTCACTTCAATTTCAAATCCCCAAATCAAATTTTTAAAGTGCCCCCTTGGAGAGCTGCAGAATAAACAAACAGATGTGGTACTTTTCCTGGAATCTCTTTGCCCCCTCCCCCAACAATATCAAGTTACTCCCCCTACCCCCACACACAGTTCCTTTTTTTCTTCCCCCTTTTTTTCTGAGGCAAATCACCCTATTGTGCATCTACCATCTCAAATACCTTGCAAATACATCTCCGTTCGGAGTCGCCCAAGAATCTGGGAGGAGCTAACAAATGCAATTTGAATAATAATGAAGCAACCGAACAATTTAATTAGGAAAGGAAGCCCTAGAGACTCCAATAAAAGGGTTGAAAGCCTTTATCTATAAAAATGTGGCTGGGTGCTCAACAGTGGGACCAATTAGGAGTGCAGAAGGCAGAAATGCTTAGACGCACACATCAGTTTAAACTAACGGGAATCAGCACAAATACTCCCAGGAGAGGAGCCATGAGGGGAAGAAAGGGTGACTTGAAAACCTAGCTGCTTTCTCATCTGCCACTCTCAAGCTTAACTTTATTCTTTTCGGATTCACAGCAAGTACTGCCTACACAGTCCTCGGAGAAAGGCTTTGTACAGAGAATTTAAAATAAGCTAAGTGAATTTTCAATCGAAGTTCTTAAAAATCAAGTGACAAAAAAAAAAAAAAATCAAGTGACAAAGGTACTTTCATCCCTCACGCAAGTTCTTCGGGGTGAAGCACGTTAGCTCCTCCTCTACGACGCACACAGCTTCTCTGAGAATGTCTTGTGCAACAGACACATTCTACTGACCTCTGCAAGTGACCTTACAGATCTTCTGCTTGCTTTTGAGGAAAATATGTACAATTCTTTCTGGTATCCTAAAAAGCTCTCAGCTTCCTTAGGGCTTGAGAATAAAATGCAGGAAGCCCCCACAGGCTGACCGATGACTAAAACCGGCTTCTTGAACAGGAAATAGAGTTTGCTTCAGAGGCAAAGAATTCCCCCGCCCCGCGCTCACCCCAGCCGGGCCGGGCGCTACCGTGCCCAGCTGGTCGCTAACACCGAGCACAGATAAGGAATCCTGACAACCGCGTTCGCCCGGTTTCCGGGAAACCTCGGTCACTCGGCGACTCCCGTGTCACCTGGGCGCGTGCGTCCCCCCACCCGCCCGCAGGTCCCGCACACCGCGCCCCCAAGGCGACACCCGGGTGACGAGGAGCGAGACTGACACCCGCAGCTGCTGGCGACCCTGCCAGTCACGGTGCCGCCCGCTGCCTTTTTTAGCCACGACATCCGACCCCAGCTTACTCGGCAGTGCTCAGGGGCAGGTCCCGGGGCGCGCCAGGGCTCCCCTCCTCTGCGCAAGCCCCGGACCCCGTGCAGACCTCGCAGCTAGGGTTGGGGCCGAGGAGCGCGCGTTTCTACTGCCCATGCTCTTCCGCCTCCCCTTTCCTCACAGCTCCTGGTCCCCCTAGGCCTCCAGCACCGGGCTCCCCCACTTCGCAGCTCCAGGTCGCCTTTCAGGGGTCCCCATGCACCACCCCCCGTCTGTTTCCCCGAAGCCCTACAAGTCTGCGGCCCGCGCGCCCGGCCCGGCGGGGGCGGGAAGACGCGGAGGGGCGGAAGGGCGCTCACCTCCCTCCTCCGCCCCGCTGTCCAGATCGGCGTCCGAGGAGTCGGGGCCGTCCCCGTAGTCCGCCAGCCCCACGAGCTCCTCCTCCTCCTCCTCCTCCTCGTCGCCGTCGTCCCCGTTCTGCGGCTGCGACTTGCCCAGCACCTGGCTCATCGCGACCCTCGGAGGGCTGGCGCCGGGACGGCTGGGGTCC